GAAAACCAGCATGTACATCCTGACAGACAGGACATGTAAAGGTGAAAGGACGAGTGGATTCAAACATGCAACCCAGACGCAGTGTTCAAATTTTTTTTTTTTTTTAGTTCTTGGGACCCATATTATTGCCTTAGCTTGAAGGCAGGTACACAACATGTGAATACTATCATGTCCACGGTCGCTGATGACATGTTTATATTTATTCATGACTCTGCTCATGGTAAATCATTCATTGATGATCATTAGAATTCATGCCTATATGGTGTTTATCATTCAGTGCTGCGTATTATCACTATATATCTATCTATATCTATATCTATCTATCTATCTATCTACCTATCTATCTATCTATCTACCTATCTATCTATCTATCTACCTATCTATCTATCTATCTATATATATATATATATATCTTAATCACCTATGCCTACTGTATTTACATACAGATTCAAGTTTATACAGGGCATTGGTCCAGTAGAGTATACTATACATGTATATATATATATATATATAATTGCTCTGAAGTAAAGGGCTGGCTGCGTGTTTCTTTCTCTTTTCCAATTTTTAACATATTTAATCCTTTTACTCTTCTTGAATGATTGCTCTCTTTTACAGAACTCTTATTTCTATTTTTTAAATTTTTATTACTTGTAAGCAACGTAATCTTAGAAAATCATCGTTGTAGTTAGCAGCATCATATATAAACAACACAATCATAATTAAGACACAATTAAGGTTTTTTTTTTTCTTTTCTATTTTTCTTCCTTGTGAATTAGCCCTGCACAGACAGAGTAAAACGGAGTTATGGACATTAAAGTTTTGGATCTACAGCACTTGTTGATTGACTCAGAGCAGCCGACGCAGTGTAATCTCAACCCCGTGCACGCGTTTGTATTTTAAGATTGAAACAAATCCAACTAAATGAATGGGAAAGCGCTCACCCATGGAAGTGGAGGAGTCGAACACAGTCCCAGCTCCTTATCCCGACAGAACGGTGGAGTTTCAATGATGACAGTGAAGAAGTGAGAGCAGATAAGCTCACGGAGCTTCGTCCAGCAGGAGGAGGCTGGCAGCAGCTCTCCTCCTCTCCTCCTGCCTCCTGGGCTCGGTCGGTGGGCTGCAGCGCGCGCGCACGGAGCGCCAAACCGAGGCTGCCCGGTGGAGCAGACTTTCTCTCAGCGTCACGGAGGGACAGAAAAATGTTCAGTGAAGAGTTGTGAACATCCTTTGTCTGATTCTACATCGTGACTCCTTCTTCAAAGTGCAGTGTAAACGGAGAAAGGAGCGACGCGCCTCCTTCTCCTCAGTCCGCACCGAATGCGCGTCTCTCACTGTGCCATGGAGCTCCGTGTTCCTTCTTTCTCCTCCTGCTGCACATCTGTGACACTCAGCCTGTCATCACTTCAGCACGTAATACCGTAGTAATACTGAGTATTAATGACACGGGGGGCGAAATTAAATTAGCTTGTTGCCGTTGTGCGTGGTCTTTTCTACTTGGATAATATTTTGGAATCATATAAAAAATCTTTATATAAAGGCAGGAATTTGTGAAATGAAAATTCATTGAATCTATTTTTCCAATTTGCCTGGTTCAGTACAGAAACCCAATTATCAGTGAATAATTTTGCAGTATGTCTTCTGGGAAATGATGTTTAAAACTAGAAATGTTTAATCCAACTGTTTCTCCAACTCATGGACATGAACAGCAAACAAACAAACATTACAGAACAAAGATCTGACAAAGACAGAGTACCCAAGGCACCAGGTGACACCAGTGGCACTAGATACAGATATACTACAGAATCATCGCTGTTAACGTTTGTTTTTTTTTAAAGTTCTTCAGTAGACATTAGATTAAGTCAAATTTAAAGCAGCATAAGGTAAAACAGGCAAATAAACCATTCAAAACATAGTACCTTCCTTTGGATACATCATGGTATCTTTTTGTTTTCAATGTATTAAAATAATTTTGAAATGAGTATCTATACGTGTGTATATTTAAAAAGAAAATGATCACAGTCGTGTGGTACAATTTATTTTGCTCTGTCAATATATACTTTTCTCCTCCGGTCCATAAGATCTGCCACAGTCTTATCTCAACCTTCACATGTCTGTGACTTCTTGTCTTCAGTGTAAGAACACAATCCCATGATTTTGCTGTTAGCAGGCAAGCTAAAAATTTAGTGGGTAGTAAAAACAAATGTTTGAATCGTATTACTCTGGTGAATTTGATCCCTCGGTCAAGACGGACATGTTAAGCCGTGGTCTGTCCACAAACATCAAATTCACATACATCAAATTCAAGGCAGCAAACGTAGAGTGGAGAATAAGCCGATTGTGGCCCACGAGCCACAGGTTGCTGACCCACTGCCTGAGGATATTGCAAGTCCATACACAGCTATAGCTTGTTTTTTGTTTTGATTTTTTGCATGCACTGTCCGAATGTGTGATATTTGGACATAAGGTAGTTTGGTTTAAAATACAACAATTTACAAGGGAAAATCGTTCATTAGCTTTTAATTGTTTTAAATGATCTGGTAACACTGCTTTGTAGTAAGTAATCGCAAGCCTGCGGTGGTCACCCCTGGATTTCCACTTTCTTTTAAAGACATGATAAATGTAAAGCTGATTGGTCTACAGCAGAACTTCTCAATAGTGGGGCGGGCCCCCCTGGCGGGGGTGGGGTGAGGTGCCAGGAGGGGCATGACGGGCTTCTAATGGAATATGATACGCTGGATATAAGTGTACCACTGCTGTAATGCTTGAATGATAACAAGCCTCCAGTCACTAGGTGGCAGCAACTCATACAGGTGGTTTGTACAGATAAAAATATACAATTTGCAGGGTGTGGTCTACAGTAATCTCTTTGACATCTGGTGTTGAAAAACAATATATTAAACAGTACTTTTCCTGGCAGGTTTAGCAGAATATGGTAAACCAGAACTTCATCAAAGAGTGGGTTGGTTTAGGGGGTGCTGTCTTTATACACAGTCTTGACAGTTGTACTAAAATACTGTAATTCTAACTGAATACTATGTTGAGTCTTTTTTGTGTGTGTTCTATTTTATTACAGGCAGAACTAAAAAGTCGAAGTCATTCATTTTTGTTTTATCATTACATACTTTATAAATCTACCGGCACGTCTGTAAAATATGATTTATAAATAAATTACACCAGTAACCAAAACTTCCATAACACCTTCAGGGCTGAATGAACCCGGAAAGACTGTAAAACACCAATGCTGCAAATCATCCAAATATATATATATATACCTATATATATACATATATATATATAACTATATATATATATGTATATATATATATAGGCTGGAGGGAAGAGAAAAGTTAGCTCACAGTCCGCATGTTCACGTCCACTGAGTGTTCCTCCGCTCCACCGTATACACCGAGATTGGTCCTTGCTCAGCGGTGCTTATCATTAACACTGAGCATAAATCCTCAACTGTAGTATCGCACTTCAGGGATATGTTTTACAGCAGATTTGAAGAAACATTAAGGTTGAACAAATAAATCACACAGTAATTACTATCAAGTGTGTGGTAAAATAAAAACCTACAGAGGAAGTGAAATTGAATCGTAAAAAACAGCGTTAAAACATTTTTAAGACACAGTGTGGCCTTGTCCAGACTGAGTTAACAGCTCCATTATTTTTATTCTTTATACGTTTATTCCTCACCACTGTACTAGAACCATTTTACCTCTTTGTGTGATGTTTACTTGTGTGTTAGGATTATTTTTAAGTACAGAATAATGATAGTGTTCTTGGTTCTTGGTTGAAATGATAGATTACAGTAATCTATGCTGGTCAGATTGGCAACATTTTTTGGGACCGTAGCTTGATCCTTTTAGCTCCTCTCATCAGACAAACAGAGATGCATACATTTGTTCAACACACAACAGAAGGGTCTCTGCTCAGGCTGACAGGCAGTCAAAAACCTCTATTGTTTGAATTCTATTGACTTTTTTTTTTTTTGGTTTCTGGGACGACGTTGGTGTGGTGTTATTGTTCCCGTCTGTCGTGCAGCATGTCCTTAGTTTGAATCCACGAAATCCAAACCCAACTCCCAATTTTGGTTTGGGTATGGTTTAAAACTGTGAAAATTACGAGATGGAATATGAATGTCGCACTTCCCCGATAAAACGGGGAAACTGAGCAGAACAGAAAAAAAAAAAGATTTTTTGTTTTTGGTTCTTTTGGAGAATTACTATATGTCTTCTACTGTACCTCAGGAATCTTCTGTTCAATAGTGTTGTGTTGTGCACCCTAGCTGCACTGTGATTGGTCATTGGTTTCTTTAAGACAAATTCCTATTTGACTGCTGAAAGGAAGTTGTATTTAACCTTGAGGTGACCTGTCTTTTCATTTTATTTTGAAAATTGAATAATCCTTCAACAATTGGAACTGAGCTACCGGTCCGCTGTAATGGCCAGTACTGGTCAACTGGTCCTTGCTACAAAAAATGTCTGGGGGCCGCTGCCTCAAGTAGTGGATGATAGCAACTGTCCATGTCTCGCCCAAACCAATGGGCAACACAAGGGTTAATTGCGATCACAAATAATCATGATTATTCATGACTAACCCACAGGTAACAGGAATAGTTTGACAGTGATTGTATTTTCTTTACAAGGCTGCTGTGGCTGGAGAGGAAAGGGGTCTGAATAAATGACTTTGTGTCATTTATGGAGAGTAGGAGAGGAGTGAAGGAAGAGACAGCGAGGAGGACACTAGACTAGAAAAGAGTGAGAAAGAGAGAGAGCTTTTGGTGTTTAGACAGATAGGCGATCGACGGATTGTAGTCTGATCTGATACACTCAGATGTTTAGATGAGGTTCTGGCACATGGTGTAAAATATTCATGAACGGATTGCAGGGATTCTTTGACGGCGGTCCTTCAGATTGTTGCATCTGTGTTTTCGTAAAGTCTTGGAGTTCTACAAATCAAAACAAGTCCCCTTTCCCCCTTTTTCCCCTTCATTTTCTCTGTTTTCAGAGAGCTCTGTGTTTATCAGCTCAACTGGCTGTTATTGAAGAAGACACAACTTCGCCAAATTATATTGACAACAACGTCTTTTATCACACACCTTTCATCAGTACTTAACCCCGTAGAGGGGTTTGATTTTTGTTTTTTGAAGGTGCTTTCTTTGATTTCAGCATATTTATCCTTTAATCTTCTCACTTTATATTTTCCTTCTTTATTTATCTTTAACGTACCACGCTGCTTTTTCCAAATGCCAGTGGAGTCCCATCAGTGCAGTTGATCATTTCTTCCAGTCATCCTTCTCTGTCTGACATGTTCAAACCTCTGGGGTGACAGTTGAACTTTAGAGAAGGACACTTACCAGCAATTTTTCAACGGGTTTTGCATTACGCCGTGACAGCAGAGGCTTTTCAAATATTTACAAAAAAAAAAAAAAACCACGTTATGATCAGATATGACAATAGAGAAAAAAGAAGTTCAAGGTGTTTGAAGTGAAACCATTCATTTACTGTGATGTTTCTGGTCTGGTTTGACTTTCAAACTTTTCTCGTATTAGACCACTTTATCCGCACACGGCTGTGTAAGAACAAATATATCAGCTTTATTTTTTTAACACACACACATGTAAGCTCTGTGACAGGTGAGGATGCTCATAGCACTGCAGCTGTTGGAGTGACTTCTCCTGATAAGTATAGAAGAACAGGCTTTGGCCAGTTTTGGCTGCCAGAGAATGAACAGGCTGGTAATATTTTGGGGTTTTAACCATGTGATTGTTTGGACAAGCTAATAAACAACTGTTTAAAAGTCGATGTGAATGTTGTTGGAGGATAACTCAGAGCACACCAGGGCCCTGATTATAAAGTCCCGTTCCTGCCTGCTGCGTGGCCTTGTGCTCTGATGTTCACAGGGGGCGCACATTGCCAATACATGGAGATTTTGTAACTGGCATAGTAACCATGGCAACATCCTGTTGGTAGAATGTTTTATCATTTCTTCATCACCCGTCGGTCCTCAGTTTGCCCATCTTTACTGTCTCAACTTAATGTTATAATTAAATGAATTGATTTAAATCAACTACACTTACACACTAGGAGCACTAAGAACCCACATTCGTCCTGCTCTCCTCTGCGCTGGATAAGTGACTTTGTGTCCACTTACTGTTAAGGCCATATGGTGAATGAGTGGTTGGTGCTCCTGCCTTACAGCAGGAAGACACCTGTTTGATCCCTGGTTGTATCAAAGGGACCTTGAGAAGAATAAAACAGTTGAAGATGTCGATAAATGAATGATGAAGATGAATAATTTCCCACTGTTGTCCTGAGAAAACCAGCATCACGCAGTGGAGGAGGGGTTGGAGCGTTTGCCTTGGAGCAAGAAAATCACCTGTTTGATCTCCAGGTGTAGCAGATGGTTTTTATTCCTGTAAAAAACATTTTTTAAACAGGTCAACTGTTCACTCCCCATAGATATGAATGTGAGTTTAAATGCTTGCTTTTTTTATATGTGGCTCTGTGATTGGCTGGTGAACTTTCAGTGGTGTAGCCCCGCCCATTCACTCCATCTCCCCCACCACCTCCGTTACCCTGAAAGGGACAAATAGCTATTTGACAAACTAGAACAAAGAAATCATGTTATTGTTGTTTCTAATAGTTAGCCGAACCAGAAGAAAAAGGTTTATTTCTCTTCTCCTCCGGTCTTAATGCCAG